GGGCATGGTGGTGTTGGGTTGACGGTTGGACTCGATGATCTTAGAGGTCTTTTCCAACCTCAATGATTCTATAATTCTATGAAAAGTCCAAATAGAGCTCCAGATCTTTAAGGAGGGTTTTTCAATGCTGAGGCATTTATGTAGATTAATCCGAGTTTAATATTAAAGTGGAGTAAGCTTCCAGAGTGGAGGAAAAATAAAGCAACTTTCCACATAGGAGTGGCAACAGATGAGGTAACTGCTGTGTAACTGAGGATTCTGAGACTGGTGCCTGATGACCTTAATACTCTGCACTATAGACTGGCGGTTTAGCAGCTGTCTATGAATAATTGAATTGCTCCAGTAGTGGGACAGAAACCATTATAGATGTCAAGGTAAATCATGCCTGTTCGTGAGTCAGAAAGGTAACCTGCCTTAAAGGTATGCTGCTTTAATTTGGATTTGACTTTCCTTGAACACAAATAGTTATAACTTAAAAATAAGCCCCAACTTCTGATATTCCACAAACGAATGGCTTAACGTGAGATACAAATGTTGTATATTTAACAAATATATCACGAAATGATGGTCAGAACAATACAAATGGTGAGCGCATGCAACACTGGCTAAACATTTATTTGATAGCTGAGTTTGATATGATGTTTTAAAACAGTACTCCCCTTCCTGAAGAAAGTAAATGGTTCATTCTTAATTGTGCTTGTATGCTCAATGGATTAGTTAACTGTTCCAGAGTTACTGTTTAGAATCATAGGTCTTTTGTTTTTCAGAAATGCAAATCTACCAACCTTTCTTCCAGCTGCTTATTAATATGTACAGGTTTTGCAGAAGATGAGTGTCTGATGGACATGTGCTTTACAGTTCAGAGGTGTGGATGAACACCTGTCTAAATTGTGCTTTTCCGAAGGACAGCAATTATCCTACAGTACTGGCTCCCAAGTGTTGTCAGACAATAATCTTTTCAGATTCAGTGTTCTACAGAATTTGGAAACAAAGAAATATGCTTTTAAGTGTGTGGGGAAAAAGTTTAATGACAATATCATGTTTATCTCTTCCCCCCCTCTAGTACTCACTTAATGAAAGAAAACTACTTGAAATGAGGGCAGAAGTAGTGGAACTGGTAAGAATTTGGTAGCTGATTATTACACAGCAAATCTTTTTGTACTTTTGTTATAGACTTAGTATTCTTTTTGGAGTTGGTCATGTCTTTAGGCACTTTAATGTACAAAATGTCATTGTGCTTTATTATTTCCCTGTGTATTTTCATATTGGTACAGATAACTGAAGTGCCTACAGAATAAAAAGGCTTTTATATATATTACTAGACCTTCTGCATGCATAGATAAACTGTTTGGTGGTCACTTTGTTTTGAAACTTGATACATGTAGTATTTTCTCTAGATGGAATTCTACTCTTAATGTTAGTTTGTGAAATTAATTTTTTTGTTCCCCCGCCATGTTCAGTGAGACTGAAACACATGGCTAGATTGATTTGGCTTCATTTTAGAGGAGGTTTTTACCAAACACTTCCTCTTCCTTTTGTTTCCTTTGTGTAGCATAGGGAATTATCCCTAGGAAGATGTGTAGCAGTAAATCACTAACTGATTCACAATGTTTCAGTAGTGCTGATTTGTAAATATCAGCAACTGGGCAGCTGTTGTTCTCAGTTTACAAGTTTGATCTTTCAGTCTTTTCTGAGTAATAGTTCTATGCCATTTTTTTTACAGAAGTCCTGTCTTCTGTCATAATCAGGTTCTGAATTTGTCTGTAGCTGGTTTTGTGGTAGAATTCATTAAAAGGTGAAGACATGCTTTTTTACATCAGAAGACAAATTCTCAGGTTTTTCTAATGATCCATAAATCTTTATGCTCTGGTATGTTTTTGTCACAAGAGGCTCTTGGACTTCTCAATAGCTCTTTTAATTGAGCAGTGACTTTAACATTGGTGGGCCAAATGACAGATTGAAGTTAATGTTTATGCTACTAGATTGAGATAAGAAGGTATCCAGTTCTGCCACTTTCTAGATTACGTATTAAGGAACATGTAATCATATAAATTTCCCGAGTTCACCAAATTATTCAATTCCTTGGATATCATCAGCTAGGAAGGAACTTGTTCTCTTTGAATGCAAATTAACATACATTTAAGGAGGAACCAAAAATACAACTTGAAGGGATGGGTTAAACTTCTAAATAAACTAGAAACTGTTCAAATTGCATCATTTTGTTGCTTTGTTTTTTAGCATGCGCAACAAGATCGAGCTCTGACCCAAACAGACAGAAAAATAGACACAGAAGTTGCAGATCTGAAAACAATGCTCGAATCACACAAACTTGATAATATTAAGTACTTAGCAGGTAAGGAATCTGATGATTGTCTCTGATGGTGAAACTGTTAAACACTGTTAAATGTTTGGCAAACTCTTGACTGACTGTATTCATAAAGGCCCTGATTTCAAAAAAAAAAAAAAAACAAAAAAAAAAACAAAACACAAAAAAAACCTTGAAATAGTCTCAGTCAAGATTAGCAGCCTTATTTGTGTACTTAATCCAGACAAAGTTTCCTATGATTCGCAACTTTAGTTTGCGTGGGCTATGGCTGCATGACTTTTTTCCCCCCTGCTTTATTCTGTAATAATAACATGTATGAGAAATCTGAAAGACTGCCTGTTAACAGGGGCCAAAAAGTTCTTCTATGCCTGACTTAATTTATAAAAGCAGCCTGCTGCATGCCTTTCTAGGATTTCTTCATCTGTCTGATGGAGATCTATATGCAAAGTGGAACATTTCAGCTTTTCTGACTGTCAGTGCCGCATATTTAAACTTTCATTTTTCAGGCATGTGCATTAGAAAAATACTATATACGTGTGTGTGCCTGCATTATTGCCATAGGTAACTAATATTTTGACACTTTTCTACTGAGCGCGTAGTGCTATTAAATGAGCGGGTTTGCAGTAGAAAATTATTCTTCTGATTTAGATTTTCTGATTATTCTTTCACAATGGATTTTGTCGCAAGTGCAATCACGTCTATTCATAGTACTGTACTTCAGGCATAACCTTTAGAGAGAACCATTACTGGAAAATAAAAGGCCATTTGTTAAAATGAGAGGAAGTTCTTTTCCCCACCATCCCTACTCAAAAACATGTTGAACTCTGCATGGGGGGGAAAAAAAAAAATTAAAAACTTGCATTGTGTTTTAAGTGCTCCTGTTGCAAACAATGGCAAAAGTCTTTTGTGTGTATATTTGGAAACCAAAAGTTAATTTCATTTAAAAAGAAATTTAAAAAATTGCAAACTGATAAGCCTCATTAACGATAGCTTTCATTTATTTGTTTGCTGGATACTTGACTGTGATTTAATAATCCTGTTATTCATTTCCTCACTTTACCACTGTAACTTGCTATATTGATCTTTTTTGGAATGGTAAGCAACTAAGGGTTTCTTTCAGCCTTTTGATAGTTTTTCAGCCCAGTTTTCCTACATTCTTTTTTTTTTTCCCTTCCTTATTTGTCATTTTTGTGCCCCTCCACCTTGAAATTGTTTGTTGTAAATTAAAAACCTTATTTTCTTACATGGGGAAGGGGTGGTGGTTAACGTTTAGTATTGTAGTAAGATGTGTACATAGCTTTCTGAAGAAATGTTCCGACAGCTAATGATTTATTGTCTCCATTTTCCTCCCCATTTTCTTTCAGGTTCAGTATTTACATGCCTTACTGTAGCACTGGGATTTTATCGTTTATGGATATAAAAAAACACCAATTTAAAGGGACTTCTACTGTCTTGGTTTCTGAAAAAAAGTTTTATCTTTGCCTGGACTTTAACCAACTCTTGACTGTTTTATTTATTTTTTTTGTAAAGCAGACTATATTGAGAATGTAACCAAAGACGTGCCTAGAAACAAACTGTACACATATCATGCATATTTTGAAACTTACCTCTGATGAAAGCATGCTATACGCATTTCTGCCATTTCCCTCCATTCTGAACTGCAGCACACCTTGCTGCTACAGTGTTGTGTAAAGACTGGCATTCGTACCAGTGGTATGGGGCTGCATGCTGTAGAGAAGAATCTATGGAATTGTGTTCCATTGCCTATTCAGGCATGCTTGCCGGAGTCAGTTGTGTGTATCAGACTGAGTCTTGATTATTAATGTAAAACTGAAACTACATGTTTTGTGGCTTGGAGGCACTCTTGTATAAGTAGAATTTATGTTAACTGAATCATGCTTAATTCCCTCCTTCTAAGACTTGTTCATGTAGCTACTATGATCAAATATTTGTTTTGCTGTTTTTACAACATTACAGTCATCAGCTTGTTTTCCAGATGGCTGTCCAATCAGTCATGTTTCATGAAAGAGTACTGTGTAATGATAGCAGTGTTTGTTGCTAGTTTTGTTTGTATTATATTTGTAGAGGTTTTTGTGACTGACTTGCCTTTGGTACATATAAGTGTCTGATACTCATTCCATATGCTAATTGTTAACTTTACCACTGTAACTGGAAGTTGGAAATGCAGTAAAATACACTAGTTGTGTTAATTTACAGTTAAGTGATATGAAGTGTCTCTGGTGCTGCCTTCTTGCTGGAAGGGAATTGATGCTTCTAGAAAGGAAAGAGATTTTAAATGGTGGTTCTGAAGCAGTGTCTTAGGCGAGGGAACTGCAATACTGACTGTCTTCTGGGGTTTTTGTTGGTTTACTTCTTAAAAAAAAAAAATTAAAAATTCCTGTTTGTTCTTCAAATGTGGAACTTTGATAGTGATTATAATAATGAAAGCAGTAATGGAGACCTGCAAGGATGTTTAATCCAGTTCTGAGCAAGCCCATGTGAACTAGTAAGTGCAACTGAAAGCAGTGAAGGAAGGCGCCCAGTGTATCCAGATACCTATCACTCTTCCACTGATGAAATGGCTGCTTTAGTAGCAGAGCTGCCATCTGTGTTCCTTCAGTTAAGGGAAATTTCCCTTTCTTGCTTGCTCTTAGGAAGAGAGAACGATCTATGCACTGGTAATAAATGCTGTTAGAGCACAATCGTGGCTTTGCTTAATGAAAGTAAAGCTGTCTGGCTACTTTGTGCCTGTACTGTAATAACCATTTAACTTGTTTGGTAGTTGGGAGTGCCAACTTTGATCATGTGCAAGTGTGGAGGAAGAGATGCATGCCTGTAACAGTACTATACTGGCCTGAAATAAAGAATTTTGAATATTTCATAGAATTTGCTGAGTTTTCATTATAAATGCAACTTTTTAATTTGAATTTAATCGCTTTGTTTGAAGGTAAGTCACTGCTAATAGGACTTTTTTTAAGCTAAGGATTGGCAAAGTTGACAGCCCCTCTAACACACTGAAGAGGAAAGAACAGTCAATAATGTAAGGAAAACTATTATTGCAGAATAACTTAACAGGCCCTCTAAATTGAATGAATCTGTATTCAAGATCTTCACTTTTTTGTTTAAAAATATTTTTTGTACTTACTTAGAGGACTTGACTCTCTCTCAAATTAGACAAGCATTAATTTAATGTTTGGAATGACTTCAGTGTTGGTTCCTATCTTCCCAGGACAGATGATTCTATATATGTCTGTGTAATCAGTACATCTTTGCCTGTATGCCTCAGCACCTGATAAATAGTTGCTAAAATAATTTTTTAGAACTGCTTTTAAATATAGGGTCTATCCTGCTAAAAATAGATACTATGCAAATAAATTTCTTTTCAGGGCAGGTGGAAGGAGAAGTGAAAGATTATAAAACAGCATTGTCCTGGAATTAGCAAAGTGTCAGGAAAACCAGCACTTCTCGGTGAGTGTTCTAAACAAGGAATAAAGCTAATATGTCACTCAGGAAAAGGACACTATAGATTATTATTTCCTAGCCCATAAAGTCTTCAGGTGTGATGTAAAAGCTTGTTACTCCTATGTGCATAGATGCAAAATCTTCTCCGGTTTCCTTTGATTTTGAAGATCAGTTTAGCAGTCTTTCTAACACAGTCTCATCATGTGTACCACATGTATTCACTGGCATTCCAAAAAGGTAGAAAATCCCTCCATATATTTCCAAACACAAATTCTTTCAAAGAGAGATTTAAACCCAAAGAATGAGCCTTTTGGTACAGGTGAGGAGCAAATACATCAGGACGTACTACTAAATATCTCTTGAAAAGCAACAGTTGGGTGTCAAATGATCACTAAATTAATAAATAGGAGACCTAAGTTGGCAATTCTCCAAATTTTTTTCTGTAAGACTCTATCATGCTGTATATTGTCTCTAACTTGAATCAGTAGCAATTCTAAATGTACAGAAATACTTCCCAGTTCTCTGACTTCAGATTTTTATTTTTAATTTGCAGAGCTCTTTCAAAAGATGCAAGTGAAAAATAAATGGGACCGTTTTACCATAAAACCACTTCTGCTGTGAAAAACTGCAGTAGCTCCCCCTTGATTCAGTAGCTCCCCCTTGATTCAGAAATGTATCTGTTCATTTCCTGCCTGGCAGGAAAAAAGTATAAAAGAAAAAAAATCAATCTACAAATGTTAGATCTCTAAGTTAGTTTGCAAGAATAGAGGATGGAGCTAAAGCTGAGCTCCAGCTCTGATTTGCTTTCAGGAAGAGCCCGTCTATCGAGAGCGAAGAGTAGCAGCCTGCCTACGTTAAAACTAGTTGTGAGTGTTCCCTGTGAACTTCTACATTCACACAGCGAAGACAGGAGGTTCTTTAAGGATTTATTTCCTTTTGGGGAAGGACATCGAGAATCATTCCATTTGCTGGAAAACCTAAGTTGCTCCTAAAGCTTCTTTGTGTTTTGCAGAACAAATGGAGATCCAGAGTTCTTACAAAAGTGTATTTACTTGTAATATGTTAGTGGGAGTATACCGGATTTAACTGCTTGTCTATCTTGCTTTCCCTCTTGTTTTCAGTAAAAATCTGTAAGGGAACCGTCTCCTTTTCCGTATCTATTAGCTAAAGTGTTCGCTTTAAGTATTTTATTACTGTTAAATCACATGCTGTCTAGCCCTTTCTCTATTGGAAGTGTTGATTGCATCACTCATTTCCCAGAATGTTGCAGAGTTGTACTTAAAACCACGAGTTGACAAATGGAAACATATTTTTAATGTAGGTATGCAATCTGCTTCAATTTTTCTAACCACAAATGTTTTGGTTTACTAGAATAAGCCTTATTCTAGTTGTGAATATTCACGTAACTGACCTTTTCATAAATGGTGAAATCCTAGCTCCGTGCAGCTATTCACAGTTTCTATTGACTTTGGAGATGGCGTGCTTTTACCTTCTAGATATTTTGAGTCATACCGCTTCAGTGGACTTTTCTTTTCTTATCTTGCTACCACCTCGCGCAGGAAAACTCGTGGGGTTTTTTGTGTGGATTTTTTTTTTTTAATCAGCAAAGGTAGCTAAATTCCTGTAACTAGTTCCTTTGAACTACTGGTTGCAAGGTGTGAACAAGACTTAGTTTTGCACCTCCCACTGAGTTTTCAGGAACCAAGTAAACTGCCTTTATCATGATTTCTGCAAGACAATTCGATGTTTAAAAAAACTGCTATGTAAAGTCTCTTTTCAAGGAATAAGTACACTGTAAAATTAATTTTTTAATGCTTTAATGTATTGAGAAAAGTTGTATTCAGAAAGTATTGATTAGTTTGACAATGGTGGTTTCTTTTTAATCATTTTTTCCTTTGGTTATCTATATCTTGAGTTTATAGGGCTTTTTGTTGTGGGGTGGGTTTTTTTTATGGGAGGTGGTTGTGTTTTAGAGTAAAGCTTTCTGTATAAGTAATTCATTTTCTTCTATTTAGGGGCGGCAAGTTCATTTGCAATCAAATATGCGCGTGGAACATTGGGGTTTGCTGTAATCAGAAACAAATGCATACACTCTTTGAGATGGGGAGCCTGTTGTGTCTTTGTTAGGAAAGCTTCCTTTGGCTTAAAACATGTTTTACCAAACATTTTAAAGCAGTAGTGTTGATTCTTTTTTTTTACACGTAAATTCTGCGTCAGAGCAATTGCTTCTTATCCTTAATGTGCAGTTTGGTAACTAGATAAAGATCATAGAGGGAAGATATCAGTGTTTGCATAGTGTTCCTTCAAAATCTGTCCATTCCAAGAAAGAAGATTCCAGTTTTCTTGGGAGGATGCCCAGCTAGTATCAAAAACAAAATACTAGAAATGAGTGACAAAGTATTGTGGCAAATATCAATCTTGGGCCAATGTTTATCCCTGTAGTGAGGCACGCTACTGTGTTGTAATATTTCAAATACCCTACCTCCCTTTGCTGTTCCGAGATGCATCCTATTAAACTCTTAGAAGTTCATTAGGTTCTCCACTGTATTCTGAAATTATATCAGCTTGAGTCAAGTCATGACTAATAGTACTCATGAACAGTCTCTTCTTGTTGCAGGAGTAAAAAAGTAGTGAGGAAAAAAGAAGGGTGGTGTGTTGTGGTGGTTTTTGTTTGGTTTTTCCTGCAGGCAAGTGGCACATGTTCTGTGAGAACTTTGAACAGAACTGCATGGTACGTGACTATAATAATGGCATACTTATAGCAGGCAACTGAATTTGGTCAAATCAAGCTTGTATACGGGGCTCCAGGGTTTGCTTCGGAACTGATAGGGTGAGTAATAGTTGTATTGGCAGGGGGTGGGAAGGGAAGCAGGGCAGGTTTCTCAGCATGAAGGGTAAAACTCAAGAGTTTATACTGTTTATACTTTCATCTCCAGCATGCTTTGGTCCTTCTCCATTGTCAGAAATCTTGTAGTCCTCTTATGTAGGACTGTCAACAATGTGTGTTACTCCATGAATAGGCAACTATTAAATATGTCACTTTTGATTGTGATTTTTGTCCAGAATAATTTGTATTGCTCCCAGTCATTCTCCTGTCTTTACTCAGGATCTATTTTCTTGTTGGAAAAGTGTACTAAGCATTATATATTTACAAAGTCCTCCCAGTGATGCAAGATATTAATAAATACAAAGGCCACTTCAGAAGCTCCCTTTAAAGACTACTTACCACAACCGGATCCAGATAGTGGCTGGAGATTTTGATAATCTTTTATATCTCGGCTTTCAAAGAAGTCAATTCTAATGCCTCGTGATTTACATGCAGAATTCCCTTGTGTTCCTTAGACGCCAGCTAGGCCAAGGCACTAACCGTCTTCTTGTCTGAGCTACTGAACTCTTCACTGAGCTTTTAAAACCAAATAAAGCTACAGGCATGAGCCTATATAAAAAAAAAAAATTAACCACTGATGATGCACAGATGAGACTGAGCATGTCTAGTGCTGCATCTGGAGAACAAGTCTTATGAAGAGCAGCAACTGGGGTTTAGCCTGGAGAAAAGGAGGCTGAGGGGAGACCTCATCGCTCTCTACAACTACCTGAAAGGAGGTAGGTGGGTGTCGGTCTCTTCTCCCAAGTAACAAGTGATAGGATGAGAGGAGAGAGGATCAAGTTGCGCCAGGGGAGGTTTAGATTGGACAGGAGGAAAAATTTCTTTACTGAAAGAGTGGTTAAACATTGGACCAGGCTGCCCAGGGAAGTGGTTGAGTCCCCATCCCTGGAGGTATTTAAAAGACGAGCAGATGAGGCACTTAGGGACATGGTTTAGTGGGCATGGTGGTGTTGGGTTGACAGTTGGACTCGATGATCTTAGAGATCTTTTCCAACCT